AGGAATTAAATCCGACTAACCACCTCTTCAAGAAGTTTCTTTCGTACAGGACGTACCGCCTGCGGAACCCGCAGACACGTTTGTCGGGCAAGGGGCGGGCCGCCGTGCGAAAGATCAGAAGGGACATACCACCAAAGGTGAAGAGAGACAATACGTTCACAGGAGACGATAGCGTATTAGTTCTAGATTTTTGTGCTAAGATAGTCCAAGAATTCGACACCCAGGAGATGAACGAAGGCCAAGCGATCCGCTTGCTACCGGAGTTCCTCAGCGGAATCGCCCTGAGACAGTACACTTTGGTGTCACAAACGGCGGGGTCCCACCATGGGAAAATATCCGTCTGGCCGGAGGCCGTACAGTGGCTATTGCGAAGCTTCGCTACCGATGAGGCAATCCGCCAAGCCGTACTCGCTTTACGGGAAGTACAGCAGCTACCGTCTGAAGACGAGATGGAATTTTATATCCGTCTGACGGACGCGAGCAATCGATGTGGAAACGTATATTCGATGGAAGAACAAATGACGATGTTTATTGAAGGACTCGATTCGAGCATCAAGCCGATGGTATCTCAATACCGACAGGACAATCGGGACGTATCATTTTTGAGACTAGTTAATTACGCGAAGGCGCATGGCTCGGCGAGCCGCGCCAAGGAGAAGAAGGCTAGGAGAGTCACCATCCAAGCGCCAGCGACGCTAAGGACGGGGGGGAAGCAGAAGCCTTCGCACCCCACGCGAAAAACCCGCGGCTCTGTCCACTTGGCAGACTCACTGTCTGCGTCCAGAGGACCTAGTACTGTGGATCAGGAAGAAAATGGATACGCAGGAGCACTGGTCGCTGAGGGCGATTTTTATGACCCCTCCGAGGAATATAGAGGCGAGGCGCACGGGGCTAGTGGGATGTCTACGCTACAGACGCCCACGTATACGACGGACTCGTATACAGAGGCCACGGATCCCGTGTTAGCGTTTCGAGGGCGCGGACACACGCCAGCGCCAAGAATTCCGATGGAAGACAAGGGTACGGCCTTCAGAAGACCGGGCTGGACGGGCCGGCCGACGGCCCGAGGACCGCCAAGGTCGCCGTACCATCAGAAGAAGCATGGCCTCGTATGCTACCATTGCTACGAGAAGGGGCACGGAGCGCTTACGTGTTTGCTCTCGTTCCGAGAGATGCACCGAGTTCTGAAGAACTACGAGATGCTCTCCCCGATGGAGAGGTTGGGAATTCCGTCGACAAGTTACCTGAAGGTAAAACAATGGTTCGAATCGCAGGCGGCGAGCACACCGAGTGCTTCTGCCGAAGGTTCGGACCGGACATCAGGAAGGCCGGCCGCGGGGCCGTCGTCGGACTGGAGAAGAAATCCGCAGCGACAGGAAAACTAAGGGGGGGAATCTCAAAAAATTCGAAAGGAGAGACATGCGTCCGGCGAACCATGTCCGGGACCCAGTTCCGTTCCCGGCTTTTAGCGAAGGAGGCAGTCGACGGCGAGGAGACAGTTGGAATCATCGATAACCCGAAAGGACCCATTGGGGTCAAGAAGATTCTGCGAAGAGGCAAGGACGATCCGCTGGAGCAAGTCCGACGCCCCTGGTACATGGTCAAGCGCGGGGAATGTCCCGAGAAGATTTTGGTCCTTGCGAGGAATAACTACAAAGTCTTCGCGGACATTGGACCGACGGTCGGATTGATGAGCCGTGTACTGTCCGGTGTCCGTGTTGGACACCGGCGCGGGACCTAATCTCATCCGGAGATCCGAGCTTCCCGCAGGAATGGAAACTCTTGTGTCCTTCGGACCGACCCAAGACATCGGCGATGCGAATAACAGGCCACTCCGAACTCTAGGTACACTCAAAATGCCTGTGAGACTTGGACGTTTCGTGGCTTCAGTCGAATTCATAGTTTGTGAAAAACTCGCAGTCCCCCTAATTCTAGGAGCGGACTATTGCGATAGGTTCGTGGAGTCTATCTACCCACGAAAGAATACAGTTGAGTTGGCGGACTTCTCGGAGGTTCCGATCGTAAGGCGATTCTCGGCGAGAAAATCGAAGAAACATTTGGTCCCCGGAGAGGGCGAGACTGATGAAAAAGAGGAGCGAGTTTCCCCCAGGGTGAAGGTGGCAAAAGCCACGACCATTGAAGCAGGGACGCAACACGTAGTCGAATGCACCTCGAAGAGGACTGGGTTGGTCGTCGTTCAACCCTACGCATCCCTATACGACAAGCACGGACTGGTAAGCACCAACGGTTGTAGTGCAATACGCACCTGAAAAGGGGGGTGAAATGAAAGGAAAATATTTGGATATGAAAAGTAGTCCGGGTGGTGGGACACACGTGTGAATAATTGCACAGTTTTAATTTTTAATTATTTTATTTTATTTAGTTAATTAGTTGGCATTAATTTTGCTGACACTAGATTAGATCTGGGATCTAGCGCCGCGAGCTACTGTAGTGACTCCGGCGGGGCGATATATACCTTAGCCCTCTGACGACCAAGTCAGTAAAGGTAACCCGAGTTGCCAGAGTTGAATGTCGCCTTGGTCGAAGTCCGTCTTTCCCAAGACGCTCTCTTTCACCTAAGCCTACGGCATCCTTTGCGCTCGGGGGTTCCCCTTTTCTTTTTCCTTTATTTCCCTATTCTTTTCTACCTCTACCTCTATATTTCCCTTAATTGTGTTGGTTCCACTGGAGTGGGTTGCGACCGATCCGGTGTACGTGTTTTAGCCATCAGGCAGCACGTTGTGTAGCGCTGCTACTGTTTCAAGTTCCGTCGGAAGGCTGTTGGAACGACACCTCCGTCGAAGGTCTTACTGTATAAGACAGAGTTGGTACCACTTACCGCGATTGCGATCGCGCTGGTGAGGGTGTTTTTAGCCATCGGGCAACACGTCGGTAGTAGCGTTGCTACACGGTTACGATCCCGTCGGGTAGTGCTGAACAAGCCCCCGTCGAAGACCTTGATTTATACGCGAGGTGCTGAATACGCTCGTCGAGCATTGGCCTTAGAACCCAGCGAACCGCCGTTACATCCTCGTAGACAAGCCCAACCCGCACTCGTCGAGCGCTCAAGTCTTCACAAGTCTCTACCACCATTATCCTCCCGGGCCGGGCATCTTTCCTTAACCCTGTCGAGCACTACAGCCACGTGTGGCGGCTGTAGGCAGAGCGACGCGCGTTCGGACGCGTAAGGAAATTCGGGAGACCACCCGGTGGATGACCGGAACCGGGATCCGGGCGCGGCTTGCGCGGTAGAAAAGTAGCACGGTAGTCAGCAATAAAAGGGGGAGGAATTAAGAGAAAAACAGAGCTAGCAGGCCGGAGAGCACAGTAGTTAACGTAGGTCTCGCGCGGAGTGATCGACGCGCGCGGGGGAAGGCAGTTGGGATTCCAGGGGTGTAGATGGCTCGGTCGGTATGGGCGAGCCAGTACCGAGTCGAGGCTACAACCTGGAATCCAGAAACCAAGGTAAAAGACCCGAGGCTTGGTGCCTCTTTACTTTGAGTATCGGGTTGACTATATAGTCCCCCGTCGCCGTAATGGCGAAGCTAAATTATACTGTAAATTAGAATAACTAGGGAAGAACGGGTGTAGCCCCGAGGGGACCAAGTACAGCCCCCATAGGCCCTATGGGATGCGGAGGGATTACACGTGTCCACGGGGAGGTCCGGTAGAACGGCAGGGGAGTCCACGGGTACCCGTGGTACACGTGGTGGCGGCGAGCGCGATTTTGGCGGCTAGGGACAGCTGTCTCGCTACATAGCACAGTGCACTACACCTGCCAGGCACATTGCGCTACAGGAACGGGTTGGCCGACGGACGATAGCGTGTTTGCGTGCAAAGCATGTATTCGTACCACGAAGGATTCTATCAAGGCAATGGACGCAAGCTGCACGACTTCGAGCGCCTGGTACGCAAAAAGTTCGAACAGCTCATGGGCGATGCCGGCCTCTACGATACAGAGACTACCGATGGGAGCAAGTCTGAATTGAGCTCACAAGTGACTGCCATTTCCCGTTTTAAGAAAGTCAGAAAGTTGTCTGAGGTTTTCGAAGGAGTCATTGAGCAGGTGAAGACGTGCCAGCCCATTGGTGGACCGACAGAGGAAGACATTGTAAACGCCGCCACGGCAATTTACTAAAAGAAAGCGACTATCGCTGAAATTTGTGATTAATTGAAGAAGCCGGAAACGGAACTGAAGAGCTCAGTAGGGCGCTTCGCGCATACGGTCGAGCTTGAATACATGCGGGAAACAAACGACTGGGGGTTTTTGACTGAGTCACAGCATAATACCTCACCGACAGATGCAAGGGCTGCAGGTGGTGCAGTATCGGCAGGGGCAGGAGAAACTGGCAACGGAAATATATTTGTCGCACCAGGAGATCGCTCAGCGAGTCCTACTGAAGCGGGCAGAGGATCCGGGCAATCGTGGAGCGGAGGCGACAACGCGGAGGACGAGAGGTCGCAGAATTCCCGCCCTGTCGGGAACAAGTGCGCAGTGGCCGTGAAGGAGTAAAATGCTGCGTTGGAGAAAGAACCGCAGGGCCTTTTGTCCCTAGCTGTCTTCCAAGAAGAATTCGAAGCTCGCTGAAGATTCTCTCGCGATCGGACAAGACAAGGCTGAGTCGCTCAAGATCCAAACGCCTCTCAAGGTGTCAAAAATGACTGGAGATAAAGGGGATGCGAAGCGGTACATCAGCATCATTCGCAAGAAAGTATTGTCATCACTGCAGTACTCAGAAGAAATTGCTACTTCCGCGCCACAGAAAGGGACGATGAACCTCGGTACTGATAGCGATACGGAAAGGGTAATCAAAATGTAAAGAGCAATGCGACGGATCACAAGAGACTACATCATAGCACGCCGTTCCAAGGATAGGATCGGGTATGTTAACTGATGCCATTGCAGACATATACCCAACTTTACTGCCCTGTCCAGTACAGTGCGCACATCGACTGATGGAACTGGACTGCACTGTAGCCCCCACCCAAACCCTCAACACTCGATCGGCGAGGGCGGGCGGCGGTCCGTGGGGGGTATCAGCTGCGGCGGGAAGGAGTGGGCAGAAGCGAGAGCGTGGAACCATATTGGTGGTCGTGTGAGTCATGGGAGATGTGCTTCATGTTAGGAACGTCTTGCGGGCCTGCTGCTCCGGGATATTACAATGCACATGAATCGGCTGCGAGGATGTGGCGGCCTGCGAATGGTTCTTTGCGAGTTGGCATATGAAGACGACGGGTGGTGGGGAGTTGTTGTTATCGACAACTCCCAACCGCCCGTCGTCTCATTATCCATGTCACTTACTGTTGAGTCAAGGCCGACTTCCATGTCGGCGGGAGGGCGGGGCTTATTGCGCCACGCTGTGTTACGTGGAGGGCTATTGTGCTGTTAGAGCATTTCATGTCAACTCAAGCATGAGTGCGGCATGCAAAAATTACATGTGCGTCTGGAAGCGTTCTGCTTCCGAACTCCTCAAAACTTACGCGGCAGCTCTTAGGCACTCTACAGTGCACCGCCTCGTAAGACAGCCCACTCAGACCGCACCTACTATAGTTTTCCGTATTGCCATGTCTTTCTTTCCCTACTTAAGACTCTCCTGACGATAAACATCAAAGAGAGCCATCTCATCTCTGCATTTTACTACAACGTGCAATAGTGATCACTAAGCTTATTTTTTCGTTTCACAGTCATGGCTCCCTCAACGGGCCCAACGGTGGGACAAAGCCTGTTTACCCCAGTTCCCCATCCTCAGCTGCGAAAGCTGGGACGCAAGCATATCCACGTGTTTCTGCGGGAAAGGGAAAACTACCTTCTGTGCATCGCCGACGCGCAAGCCACTGGCAGCACAATCCAACCGGTATCTATCAAGGCTTCTATTGATAGAGATTTGCTACTGTCTTTGGTGGAATTTGGCGAGTTTGCGGGAGTATCAATCGCCAGCGAACTCACCGACGACAACCTTCAGGAGTGGCTCAACGCCAATGAGAAAGTCAGTGTCGAGTCTTTGAGCCTTCAGGAGCTAGAAGCCGCTATCAAAAGCAATGTCCGTATGGATATCAATGAACCAGATCCAGAGATGCGAATCAAAGGCTTGTTCGTGGACTTTAAGACGTTTTTGCGTAGCAAGAAGTGGGACCACCTGGTCGAATCAAATCCTAAACTAGTCATTTCACAAATGGTCACCCTTTTAAAACCGACGGCTTTGAAAAACAAGATCGAGGCGGACCTGGAGATTGGCAAGCATGATTTGCGAAAGAAGTGGTTGCCTTTTTATAAACACTGTATTGCCGAGGCGGTGGCCTGTGACAAATTTGTTTCGGTCAAGAATGCGCAAGATTCTAAGGTGCCCGACCAAGCGAAGCCGCCTTCCAGGGGGTTTGCGCAGAAAGGCGGGCGCAATGAGAAGGGAGCACGCTCGGGAAGAGATTCGGAAAGAGATTCGCCACGAAGTCCAAAAGGGAGCTCACTTGGAAGTTGGAAAGAAAGCCCAAGCAAAGGGAGAATCAGCAATACTGTAGGCACAAAATCATCTGACAAGGAGTTACCCTTCTGCTTGAGTACAAAGAAGTGCAAGAAACGTCACTTGCTCAAGGACTGTACGGACACTACCGCAGAGGAAAGAGCAGATATATACCGCGAGTTTTACAAGGCGAAGCCGAAAGGAACCATCAACGCCTTGATGGAAACTGACTCAAGCACCCGACCCACTACAGTATCCAATGCAGTACCGAGGATTGAGCTGGCAGAGAGCACCGGACGTCTCTCTGGGCATTTGTCAGACATAGTACCAGTGGTGGTGAATGGTGATTATGGTGCTGATCATTCAGCACTATGCGAGGGACACCTACAAGAATGCGCTAACGCCGGAGTATTCGTGCAGGTGCTTCCTCTCGGGACACCCATCACAATGGGGCTGGCACTCAGCGAGCGTGACGGGGAGTCAGAAATGGTGTTCAAAGCTACCAAAAAGGCTCGCATTTCGATCACTCTCGACACAAATGGTGGTCCACTGCGACTCCGCAATGTCGAATTCTTAGTCTTTTTAGAGAATATGCCAGAGGTCCTTCTCTCACGTCCCCTGCTTCGGTCTATGGGTTTTGATCTTGACAAACACCTGGCGGAGGTTCGCGACGAGTTCCACAACGCAGATTTCTCTCATGTCGGATTTTCGGGTGCTGTAGAGGAGGGCATTCGATCGTCTACAAACAACCCCTCGCGTCTCTCTCGAGTGCTACTGGACAGAAGCGGCCAGGAGGAGGAATCGGAAGAGTTCCATGACGAGGAATATGTCAATTCAGATTGTCTCTCGAACGCAGTATTGGAAAAAAATGATGCAAGCGGCATGATTGATCATGTGCCATCCGCTCTTTTCTATGGTGACGGATTAGATGATGACCCCTTACGAGTGGACGATGAACTGGATCCGGGAACGGATGATCCGTCGACTACGACGCAAGCTCTACATGACCGCGTAAAAGATGCCATTGCCAATGGTCTTCCAGCACACCTCCACAGCGAACTGAAGGCGATGCTGACGGAATACAAGGACATTTTCCGAACAAGCCTGGGGTCCGATCCTCCTGCCAGGGTACCGCCCATGCAAATTCACCTCAAAGAGGATGCCAAAGCCGTGCGTGTGAAAGTCAGACGATATTCGCCACCACAGGCAGCTTTTCTGAGGGCTAAAACGGACGAACTGCTACAATTAGGGTTGGTCAGGCGCAACAATCAGAGTCAATGGGCATGCGCACCCCTGCTTGTTCCGAAAACTGGTCCAGAACAGTTCCGTTTCACGGTGGACCTTCGTCCAGTCAACAATCAAACAGTACCCTTTACGTGGCCGATGCCTCACTTCGAGACAGCAGCGTCAGAATTCGCTGGAGACAAGGTTTTCGCAACAATTGACCTTTGTCATGGGTATTGGCAGATGCCTCTCGATGAAACTGCGCAGGAATGCCAAAGCTTCATCACACCTGATGGTGTTTTCACCCCCACTCGGGTACTTCACGGACAGACAAACGCTACTTTTTACTTCCAGAGTACAGTAGCAGAGATCTGTCTATCGCTTCGAGACTGGATGCTACAGTGGCTCGATGACATTCTCATTCACTGTACAAATGAAGACGAACTTTTCTGCAAATTACGGAAATTTTTCTTAATCTGCCGTGAACATGGGATCAAGCTACATGCGCGCAAATGCCAGTTTTACGTAACTACTGTAAACTGGTGCGGCAGGGTCATTTCAGAAGCAGGTATCAGGATGGACCCCAAGCGTATGGAGTCTCTACTGCAGATGCCTGCTCCGAAGACAGGTGATCAGCTGCAGCAGTTCCTTTGCGCTGTGAATTGGATGAGGATGTCAATTCCTCAGTATAACGGGTTGGTCTCCCCGCTATCAAAATTACTTGAGGAGGTGCTTTCTCTTGCTGGGTCTCGTACAAAAAAGGCCGCTGCCAAAGTAAAGCTCTCGGACACTTCATGGAACAGGAGCCACACACAGTGCTTTGAAGCAGTTAAGAAGGCCCTCGCAACGTCCCTTACTCTCGCGCACCCAGACCCAGCGAAAACTCTATGCCTCTTTACCGATGCCAGCGATGAACATTGGTCAGGCGTCCTATCGCAGATTCCTGGAGTTGATCTCGACGCGGCATTTTCAACACAGCGACACGAGCCCTTAGCGTTTCTCTCGGGATCCTTTCACGGGTCTAGTGCGCGTTGGTCCACACCGGAGAAAGAGGCATTTGCCATTGTCCAGTCCGTCACCCGCTTAGACTATATGTTGCTTCGCCCGGAGGGTTTTATGCTCTTTACAGATCATAAGAACCTGGTATATATCTTCAACCCCCTGTTTACAAATCCCAGTCTACAGAAGCATGTGATGGACAAAGTCGAGCGCTGGGCGCTGTCCCTTTCTGCCTTTCGTTACACCATAATTCATATATCTGGAGAAGAAAACTGCTGGGCAGACCTTCTGTCTCGCTGGGGCAATGCTTCCTCTACCGGCAACTCCTTAACCCAACGCCGCATGGCCTCTCTTTTTACTGCACCCATCGCCCCAGATCTGAATCCAGACTTCAGTTGGCCCCAAGTCGAAGAAATCGCAAGGACACAGTCCAGAGCATTTGGAGAAGGGGATACTCCAAGTAATCTCAAAGAGTCACGTGGAATTTGGAAATCTGAGACGGGGGCAGTGTGGATTCCAGTCTCAGCCCAGAAGCTTCAGCTGCGCCTTTGTGTCATTGGGCACTGTGGTCGTGGAGGACATCGAGGTTTGGAAGCTACCAAGGCAAGTATTGGGGAACACTTCTTTTGGGAAGCCATGAATAGCGACATTGCTACATTCTGCAATACCTGCCTCCACTGCAAGAGCACAATAGGTGGGAAACGCATACCGCGGCCATTAGGGCATGCACTGCATGCGGACGCCCCGAACGAGCTTCTACATTTCGACTACCTGTTTATGGGAAAAAGCGACACAGCTGAGATTTATGTTCTTATTCTCAAAGATGACGCCTCAGAATTTGTGATGCTAGAAGCTTGTGTTACAGACGATGCCGAAGCCACTGTCACCACTCTAATCAAATGGTTTTCGTTGTTTGGCGTGGTTCTCATGTGGAATTCAGATCGTGGTAGCCACTTCAAGAACAAGGTCATGACAGAAATCAATCGCCGTCTACATTCCCATCATCACTTCACCACACCATACTGTCCACAGTCCAACAGTACTGTGGAGACAGCATGCAAAGAAGTCTTGCGAGCCTGCCGTGCCCTGCTTTCCGAGTTCCGTCTGAAGGAAGCAGAGTGGCCCACTGTACTCCCTTTGGTCCAGAGCATTTTGAACCACTCAGTCCGTCCAAGCTTGGGCAAGAGAGCACCCATTACAATCCTCACAGGACTCCCTGCCGACAACCCGTTACGCACTCTTCTGCCCCCAATTGTCCCGGTTCCAGCTTCAATTGAATTCATTCGGGCACAACGCATCATGAAAACAAACGTGCTGATTAAAGCTCTGGAGAACATCCATCGCGAAACGCGCCTTCGACGCAACAAAGCACGAGATGCAGCTGTAAAACGTCACAACGACAAGACACACGTGCGCCCTGTCAATTTCGAAGTCGGTGATTACGTGCTAGTAGCCCAGAAGGCAGGAAGCAAAGGGCATAAGCTTCGCGTTATCTGGCGTGGGCCACAGCGAATAACAAGAGCAGTGTCCGATCTAATCTTCGAATGTGAGGATCTCCTTTCGAACTCCTTTTCCCTCCTGCATGCCAATCGTCTCAAGTTTTACGCCGACGCACAGCTGGACGTCAGTGAAGAACTGTTGGACACGGTAGCCCACAATAACTCTCACCTTAACACAGTTGAGGAACTGCTCGATCTTCGCTGGAACGACCAAAAATACCAGTACGAGGTCTGTACAAAGTGGCTGGGATTTGATCACGAGGATCCTACCTGGGAACCATTGGCTTCATTGCAGGAAGACATTCCCGTCGTGCTTTCGGCGTTCCTTAATTCGCACTGAGACCAAGACTTGGTTTCCTCAGCAAAAGCGACGATGGCACAGTAACTACTCACTGAAGAAGAGGACTATTGCGCCACGCTGTGTTACGTGGAGGGCTATTGTGCTGTTAGAGCATTTCATGTCAACTCAAGCATGAGTGCGGCATGCAAAAATTACATGTGCGTCTGGAAGCGTTCTGCTTCCGAACTCCTCAAAACTTACGCGGCAGCTCTTAGGCACTCTACAGTGCACCGCCTCGTAAGACAGCCCACTCAGACCGCACCTACTATAGTTTTCCGTATTGCCATGTCTTTCTTTCCCTACTTAAGACTCTCCTGACGATAAACATCAAAGAGAGCCATCTCATCTCTGCATTTTACTACAACGTGCAATAGGGCTGGCGGCTGGACAAATACACCGCGAAGCTAGGGACGGAAGAATACAGCGCGGTGTTGGTCAATACTTTAATGCGGGGCGAGAATGGTGATGAGGTGGCAAAGGAAAAAGCAAGTTGCTGAGAAAGGTTGTAGTTGGCGGTGCAGAGGGGGGGACGGGGTTTCATTGGGTGTTTGTGTGTGGGACAGGGAGGGAAGTTTTCAATCGAATGGTTAACACCTCTTTCTCCATTACTTTTCTCCAGTATCTGCAGATAGAAACGCCGAAACATCATTTGTAAGCTGCCGTGCGAGAGAGACTCACCCAAATACCATTCGTTTTGCAAACGTTACAAGAACCGCTATACGCTCTAATTGGCCTACAACAGCCCTACCTTGCAACAAAGTCTCTACTCTCGGCATTATTTTTGTGACTTCCCAAGTCTCTACACCTTGTTTCAATCCCAACTCTTTACCGCTTGAATCGAAACGCATGTTTCAAAGTTAGTCAGAGGTAAAGAGAGATATATACAATTATGAAGGGCTCACTTGTCACTGAAGGCTTTACCTCATTTACATTGTCACTTCATTTAAAATCCTCCACAGCTGCACTTTTGTGAAGCTATCCACATTTGCTCAATTCTCTACTCTAAACACCAAGTTGACACATGCCTACATACGCAGGTGCTACGCACACGGTTGCTATACGCACGGGTGCCACATACACGGGTGAGGCATTCGAGTATTGTACTAGAGAGTCTCCCAATGTGCACAACACCTGCAGAACACCAATTCCCCGATCTTCACAACCCTCATTTCAGAGTTCCGTATCCTCACTAGTCAGTCCTGGAAAGCTGCACATTCTGTTCTTCAACTAGACCGCTTCCCTGTCCCTGTTTCGCGCATATGCAAAACGAAACTGCAAATAAAACGTGCCGATCAATAGAGCCTATCCCATCTTTTTATGACCTTCGAAGATGCTTCGTCTCTATTATTCTCTTCACAACTCATCTTTCTGCTCCTTCCTTTTTCCAACTCGCTCTCTTTTGCGCATCCAAGAAACGGCACCACAAAACTTCCAACCTACTACACATTTTATAAGTATGTCTCGCTATTTTCCCAGCTCGTGGCGGGGTGTGCGTGCGGCAGGCGCGTGCCAAACACGTAGAAAACGATGAGGATCACCGGCAGCAGGAAAATAGACCGCGATTAGTCACCCTTCTGGTGACTGTACCCGGTCTGCAGCCTCGCGAGGAAAGTGACCTCCTTGTGCAGCCCGGCCGCGCGCGCGTCAGCCCGCAACCGCGCTTCGGTTTTCCAAGCAGATGCCCGTGCTCGCTAGTGCTTGTAGATAGGCATCTGATGAGCGCCCGTTCTTCGAAGACGAGTACGAAGCGCCCGCGAACGACACACGCCGACAGCTGTGCCGTCGGCGTCGGCCGTCCACAATTGGCGGCCGCGCTCGACGTTTACAGGCCACATCTCACGGATGTTGAGGGGGTTCGGAAGAGGAGGCGCAGGCTAGGAATGAGGGGTGGAGGGAATGGTGCGATGCTGAGAATGAGGCTAGGAGTGGGATCCATTCGGAAAGAGAGAAGAGGAGGTTGCAATGCATGTGCCTCCGACAGTACATGTGTCTAATCTACACTATACGCTTTATTGGCCCATTTCCGGTTCCATATGTAGTCAAGGGGGGCGGCTCGCAGTCTTTTGTTCTCGCTAACCGACTGAACATCATCACACTCAGGACCCATCTGCTGCAGACGAAGCCGCATGTCTTCCGTGACAGCAGGAACCTTATGCATATCGGTGGCATCTGCGGCCTCGTTGAAATGGCAGCTCAGTCCTCTTCCCCCGTCTCTAGTTTATCTTTTGCACCGCACTTCTGCGATCATACTGTGTATCAAAACGCAGGCATTTGCAATGAAACCCATCTCAGCCGATGACATCAGCTTTGAGGGCACGAATAGGATCTTGAATTGAGTAAAACGTACACCAAAAACCCTCTCCACACACTTCCGAACACCTTCTTGAGCATTCACGAAGACCCGTTTCTTGTCTAGTTCCGGGTCATCAATCTTTCCGCAGAACACCTTCCACGGCGGGTAAATACCGTCGGCGAGGTAGTAGATCCAACCAAATGTTTCTCCGGAGACTATATATTGCGGTGCAACAGGTGGGAACTGCCCAGAAAGCACCTTCGCGAAGTGTTCGCTGACGCTTAGTATGTTCAGATCGTTCAGGACACCTGGTACACTAAACTGAAGTGAGCATATCCGCAGGTCAAGGTGGCAAATTACCTCCGCCCTCAACACAGGCTTGCTGTCTTTTCTGCGGAGACTCCCCTGTAGTGCTTTGGGAGCGTTTTTCCAATACCAAACTGCACAGTCGACTGCGCTGGCACACCCGGGGAACCCCACGATACGAAACTTCTTCTCTATCCACCGGAAATCTTCTAGGGTTGGCTCACGCAGATACTTCACACTGAATACATCTACAACAGTTCGAGAAAACTCTTTCATAGAAGCAGTAATCTCTGAGACGTCGAAGAGATCATCACAAAGGTCAGATGGCATGCCATAAATTTGTGCGCTGAGCATTGTTTTTGCTGATAAGTTTTAGGGACCTCACGACAAATGGGGGGAAATTTCGTCCAATTGTTGATGAGTAGAGAAGCCGCATGAGGTAACAGGTATTAAAAACTCTCAAACAAGCTGGGGATGTGGTGTACGCATTACCCGCGCATAACGGCGGCACAATGCAGCCATTAGATGTGGGGTTTGGTCCTTTTAAAGAATTCATTCGGATCTCTGTCGAACAGCTTTCGTCTACAACCTAGTTGAATAGCCACGACATGTTCGACTATCTGAAGAAAATGCGGCGGGCATATTTTAAGTCCTTCACAAGAGCGAATGTGACGTCTGCCTTTAAAATCTGGCATACTGTTTAAATGCGAGGCTCTTATCTGCGTGCCTCGAACACGGTCTTTGAACGAAAAAAGTGGTTGGTGACGGTCGCACAGATGGAGTAAATGCTGAAAATAAAACGCTCGGTATGCAAAGAGAGGTTAGGCTTACAGCCACCAGTGCTGCAGTGTGGTTTTTAGGACACGTCGGCGGAGTTGACCTTGACAACGAATACAGCAATGGACCAGGCTAGGGATAAGGATGCTATGGTGAGGGGTGAGCTGGCGAAAAAGCAGGAAAAGAAAGCCGATAGAGGGCAAAGTGCAACTGAAGCTGTGGATCGGACGAAGACAGAGTGATTGAGGCTACAAATGAAAGTGCTTGCTTTCCGTTTCCAAAATTTCAAGGATGCGAAACTTATGCCAAGGGCACTGTCGGTGCGTCTACAGACTGCCAAGAAAAGAGTCTCTAGCAAGCGTGCCGCAGTATTAATGAAAAGAACGAAGGAAGTTGGCCTCGAATGGCAATTGGAAATAAAATTGCAATGCAAGAATGCATGAGCCAATTAAAGTTTTTTGCAAATATTAGGTGTTTCTGCCGTTTTTGCGGCCTCGCCGATGCCCCGACGAGACAACGCCATGCATATCGATTTATGAGCCTTTTTGCTCCTTCAACCAGAAAATATGTACCTGGCGACTGCCAATTTTCCATAAAAATGAAAAGGTTTTCTACCCCCGCCTCCACCCCCAGATTCGCGTCCCGCTCAACTCGAACCACCGGTCCTTCCCCATCGCCCACCCAGATACCGTCTGAAGCACCACCTTCCCCACTCCCGTCCACTCAGGAGCTACTCTGCTCCCCCATCCGTCCCTCTTACATTTTCTCCTGCATCCCGCGCCCGTGCATACATAGCACTGTCTTACTACTCATACGCTTTGTCCGGGCGCCGACAGCCGCCCAGACTCCTAAAACTACTCATGAGGCATTCATGCGCTTCCATATGATCCCCACCGTTGTGCCCCGAAAATCCTTCCGCAGCGAGCCAGGATGGCCGTCGTCACTCGGGCAAATGCATGTCCACCGACTCTAAATTGGGAGGGCGTGCACAGGAACACAATGTCGTGCACTGAGGGGGAAGGGTGGGATCCCTCTCTGGCAGAGCGCGCCCGTTCGGGGGCGCGTGTACGGGATTCGGGAGACCACCCGTAAAGGAACCGGTACGGGGCCGGGCGCTAGGCGCAGTGGGGAATTGGAGAGGAAAAAAGAACTGGAAGACACGCCCAGGAGGGGCCGAGCGGTAGGTACAGGCTTGCGCGCACGCTACAGTAGAGGAGCAGGGGCGCGCGCGTTAGAGGTAGGTGGGAATCGGGGACATAGATAGATCGCGTGGTACCGTCGTGGGACGGGGACCGGCGCGAGGCTACGACTTCGATTCCAGAAACCCCGGTTCTCGACCCAAGGATTCGTGTTGTTTTACTTACGGTCGGACGTCGGCTATATAGACGCCGACGTCGGAACATAATAATAATAACTAATTAAAATAAAGGGGTACGACACCCGTGACACGTGGTGGTGGGACACGGGTACACGTGGGGAGTGGCACGGATAAACGTGATGTATAACACCGGTACACGTGGGTAATGGCACGGGTAAAAGTGATGTATAACACGGGTACACGTGGGTAGAACTTTCAGTACTTCGACAGGGCTTCACAGAGCTTACACCCAGACTGTGCTGGTGGAGAATTATACACGGTTACACCTAGAATAGATGGAACTTATGATAGTGGGATACGCGTCGTGTGCTACAGTGCTGCACCGCGATAAGATGGGGAGTTCAGTGCTCTACATAGCCCCCCTCTCAGAGTACAGCGTCCACGCGAACCATGACTTCGGCCGTCATTGCCCCGCCCTGCCAACGTACCAGCCCCCCTCCGGCACAGACAGCTTGCGAGGATTAGGCAAGCGCTCGGGAGAGAAGGTGAGATAGTGCGAGTCCGCGAGTACGCGCGCGAAATGAAATGCGAAGCGGTGGCCCCGGTCCGAACCTCTCCCTCGGGCTTCCGTGTGGTTCCTTGACGTCGACTTTATTGGCCCATCCTTCCCGGCGACCAGCGCTAGCGTGTCACCCTGACCACGCGACCTTCCTTCCCCCTTTCCGCGCATTGGTAGGGGCGGAGGATGACGTGCGCGGCGGTACGCGGGAGTCTAACACGGGGTGGTACGCGGCGGGGACGAGGTGGCCAGGGTGCGGGAGGCAACGAAGTACGTCCCCGACGCATTGCGAAGCAGTGTCTGGGATGACAAAATAACGGGGAGTCCTCCGTCATCTGAGGACTTCCCTCAGCCATTGTACGAGCTTCCACGATTGTATGGCGACCCATAACCTAG